GGCTTTTCAGGGACCTGCCGGCCGATCAGGCGGCTGAAAGGGCCACGAGCCTGAGCTGCCAGATTTACTTCCTGTGGGGCACGATTCTGTACGAGCGGTCGGTCGTGGAGTACAAGCTGAGCCTGCCAACCTGGGAGGAGTGTTTGGAGGTTGCGATTGAGAAATTCGAGCTTGCGGGGGCTTCATCGACGGATATTGCTGTCATGATCAAGAACCACTACTCGAACGAGACTGCTTTAGAAGGTAGGGTTTAGCATTCAAATGCGTGGACTAATTAAGTTTCTTCATTTGCTCAAAATTTTGTTTTGTTCTGTTTTCTGGGAACTCATGTGATGTTTAGGGTTCAAAGTGGATGAGATAGTTCATGCTTGGAGTGAGATGTATAATGCTGACAGGTGGCGAACTGGTGTGGCATCTTCGCGTCTCGAGCCGTTGTTCAGAAGGCGCTCCCCGAAACTGCATTCTGTTTTGGAACATCTTGCTCAGTAGTGGTGTGTGGTTTTGCATCAGAATTACTCTGGTGTTTGGTTTTGCCTCCAGACCAGATTGTTTAGGTAAGTCTGATACAGGCCAACACAACTTTTTGTCTACTTTTTGTTTTATTTAACTGCCGACACTGATGCTCCTCTATCTATATTTTGCTTTGGTCATACTGATCTTTATATCTAGTTAATTATAGATGCTTTTTCGTTCTAATTCATTTATCTAGAACTATAATTTTATATGCATATGTGAAACACATGGCGACTCTTGTTGGAACAGAGTGGAAGATAAAAATAATCTTGGTAAAAAATGAAGTAGTTTCACTATTTTGCTGTGACTGGTCCCTTTAGTGTTTGAGCACTTGTAGTTGAACGAGAAGCCATAAACTGGACTGAAGTAGTTGAAAACGGTAACAATTTGAAGATTGCACTGTTATGCACATTAATACCTGAATGTACGTGTGTTATTTATCCGGTAGGGTTGCTTCACAGCAAGCCTTACCATAGATGGATATACTTTTTCAACATATATGCATAATAGCATTCTTTCATAATATGATGTCATACTTGAAATAACAATATAGAACATCTCTTTAACCTGTTCTGCAAGTTAATGTCATTTCATGGTATAAGTACACAATTTTTTTATTTTTGTTTTTCGAAATCATGATTTGTCGACCTGCATAACGTTTAGGCTGCTTATGAGACAGCCTTTGTTATCCATCCTGTCTACCTTTATAAACGTTATGTTACGATGATAATTCTTGGCAACTTATTGCAGATATTGCCACCTTCATTGATGAAATGGACCATTTACCTTTTGCAGGTTCTTCGTATTTTTTCATCAGCCGTTTTGCTTTTGCTCGTGAAGCAAAGGAGTGAACGTCTTCGTGTCCCGATTGCCTAATGGATTAGACATCAGTTTTGCTTTTGTTTTGTCAGTTGGAATTTGAAAGTTGGTTTGATTCTCCTCATTCTTTGTTTGGGAAGTAAATTGTGACATTGGGCCTGAAGGGATCAGGTCTCATTGTGTTTTTTTGGTACACACATATGGTGAGGCCATATACAGATAGAATGATTATAGAATTGGATTTGTAAAGTGTTCTTTTGCAAGGTGATAGTGTGTATGCTGTCTTTCAAGTTTGTGAAAGTCATTGTATCTTGCTTGGATGTTATATGGGATTTTTTTTACTAGTAAACAAGAATGTCTAAAATTTTTCACTTTTTATATGCATTAGTAAAATACTAAACTCCATGTTTTTTTCATGCTATATTAATGTATATATCCGAAATAAACCACTAAATATTCCTAAACTGCATTTCAATAAATTGAATCTAGTGGTCCCTTGAATTTTCTGTTCGAAATCTCTATTATTTCGTTATTTATTCTCTGTAAGTCTCCATGGATGTGAAGCTGTGACCCCCATTTTTCTCCACCGTGTGGTGCTCGTTTCTGATCGGAAACTAGTTTTTGTAATCGACGATTTTGGCTACTAACCAAGATTTCAATCCACCATATTCAAAAGCTATCTCGGATTTGAAGGAAACAATTGTGAAAGTGTTAGGGTTTCAAGTTGAGGATTTTATATATTTGTGTTCGATTTGAGGGATGCCCAGGTGAGTAAGTCGGTGGCATATGAATTCGATGTTGAGAAATACTACATAAAGTGATGCCGTTGAAGTTGTTGGAGGATGTGAACACATGGGAATATGTGGTTTTTCTCATTTTCCAAACGGAGCATCCTATGCTACCAAGAAGGAAGTTCTAGTTTGTGAATATAAAAAAGACGACTAAAGGAGAATGAAGAAAACGAAACAAAATCAAAGTCAAGAAACATAATAGTTAAGTTTTTCTTAAGATGAAACTGTCCCGTAAAATTTTCACGGTTAACAGAAAACGACTCCAAGATACAACGACTTTCGACTCGTATATAGTGGTATTTTAAATATACAAGCCTTTGGCGAACAATACTATCGTTTGGAACTCTCAAGACTCAACGAAAAAAATTAAAGAAAACAATATGCTTTATGAACTTTGAAATGTAATGTAAGAACTCTTAATTTCAAGTTATTAATGATTTCTAGGGTTGGGCAAAAAAACTGAATTTTTCCGTACCGAACCTGACCGAAATGGTCCCCTTCTGAAAGTTTTTTTTTTTTTTTTTTAATTTTTGTCCCTTTCCCAACATCCGACCGTTTTAAACAATGTTGCTATTGGTTTCGAATATTTTTGTCCCGCACCGCCCCGTTTGTGGATGTTTGTAAGGACATATAGTCGATGTTAATGCAGACATCTTATTTATTTATTGTGTTTGCAGATGTCGTTGTGGATGTTTGTAAGGACATGCCCATATGGTCGTGCGGACCCACATTTGTTCGAGGATGGAGATCAAAGACGTTATTTGGGGCTAAAGACATAGGTCTGTGGGTGGTTAAGTTTGCATGCAAGAATGCAATTGTACGAAATGGGGACACAAGGCGTCTTGAGGCTTCTTCTTGTTGTTGCAGAGAAGAAAAAGAAGCATTACAAGTAATGCAATGGTTTGATAGCCTGAGTTTCAAATGGAATATTAACGGACGCATGAACTTTGACGACTATTTAAAAAAAGGGCAATGCTACATGTACAATTATTGTTTACAGTATTTGTTGACAACAATAGTTAAATGTATCATTAAGTCAAATTTTATCCATACATTCATTTGCATCTCAACCACCAACATGATGCCACGTCATGTTGTCATTAAATGTTGTACAAAAAAGTTGTACACATAGTTTTTTCCAAAAAAAATATTTGAATAAACAATCATTCGAATACAATTCTCGAATTACTTATATAACACTAATATACAACAAGTAAACATATCATATTCTATATACAACAAGTAAACTACCATATTCTCTGATTATTTATTAACATGATATGATTTTTTTGCTGTATTTAGAAGGTTGACTCTATTATGGAGCCAACTGTTGGCTCATAGCAAAACCGCTCATTAACCTATGTTTATATATATATACTAGTACAACACCCACTGTATTACACGGGTGCTTGTTAATTTTTTTTTTTTTTTTTAAAATCTAAAATTAATGGGAAAAAGTAGTTTGAAAATTTAAATACCTTTTACAAGAATATATATATTATTATATATTTATTATGACACTTTTTATTTGTGCAACTTACTTGTGTTATATTATACTAATTTTTTTACTTAAAATATATAACTACATTACATATAAATATATCAATTGAGAAATAATTTTATTTTTCAATGAATTTTAATAAATAATATTATTTTTTATTATTATAAAGATAAATATAATTTATTTATTTCATATATACAATATGGATGCCAAATCGAAGATCATCAAAAGATGATTAATTTGATATATTATATATG